TCCAGTGTGGAGAATATACTGTCCCAAGCTTCGGGGGTTTGTACAGCTGTTTTCAGAGATACTTCTAGGGACCTGTAAATTTTCAGTTCTTCCAGGGTGATATGATAAGGGGCGAGGTGTTTCCTCTCCATTGCCACAACAAACTCCACCAAGCCAGCCTTCCTCCTCGCCCCAGGACCGCCCCTTAGGACTGTGACCCAGATCCAAGCACGGGCAAAGCAAGAGATTCCTGCCTCAGCACTGGCAAAGAGATCCTTGCAATCCCCCTCTGATCAGCCACTGGATTCCCTCTCAGTCTGTGGGCCGGAAGTTCAGGAGGCCGCCATGTCCCGCACTCGGGACTTGCAGCTGAGACTTAGCTCCTCTCTCACTGAAGTCACAGACTTTTCCCACTGCCCTTCCAAGTTGTCTTTGGCATTCGTGGGTTGAGAAGTCTGGAAACCGCCACAGCTGCCCACGATTCAGCCCTCTGAGGCCTGCTCCAGGGTCGCTACTGTGGCCTACGCGCTCACGCAGAGCTGCGCTCCTCTCCCCGCCTGGCGTGTTATACCTTTCTGATCAACTATCCAGGTTGTCTGGGGCTGGAAATTTGTTTCACTCTGTCTTTTTGTGGGTTCTGCTGCTTTAGAATTTGTTTAGAACCATTTTTTTACAGGTATTTGGAGGGGTTTGGGGGAGAGCTCAAGCAAGTCACTGCTTTCACTCTGCCATCTTGGCTCCACCCCCCTATACTCCTTTAACATGGTACAATAACAGTACAGTTCTCAAGAGTTGCAAGTGTCATCCTCCCTTGTAGGGATGTACACATTTTGCCTGTATTAACAACATTTGTTTCTTTCTGTCCCATTTACCTTTTTATGTCTCTCTTGAATCTTGTACTTGAAGATCAGATTGTTTGTTGAGCTCTGGTCTTTTTATCAGGAAGGTTTGGAAGTCCCCTATTTTGTTGAATATACATCTCCTCCCCTGAAAAATCATGCTCATTTTCGCTGGGTAGTTAATCCTTGGCTGCATTCCAAGCTTCTTTGCCTTATGTAATATCATGTTCCACGCCCCACAGTCTTTTAATGTAGAGGCTGCAAGGTCCTGTGTAATCCTGACTGTGGTTCCATGATATTTAAATTGTTTTTTTTTCTGGCTGCTTGCAGTAATTTCTCTTTAATCTGGTAATTTTGGAATTTAGCTATTATATTCCTTGGCGTTTTCAATTTGGGATCTCTTTCACCACCTGGTGAGTGGTAGATTCTTTCTATAGTTATTTTACCTTCTCTTTCTAGAACTTTAGGGCAGTTTTCCTTTATGATTTCCTGAAGGATATTGTCCAGGCTCTTTTTTTCATCATGATTTTCAGGTAGGCCTATAATTTTTAAATTGTCTCTCCTGGATCGATTTTCCAGGTCAATTGTTTTACCCATGAGGTATTTTACATTTTCATCTGTTTTTTCATTTTTTTGTTTCTGTTTGACTGATTCTTGCTCTCTCATAGAGTCATTAGTTTCCATTTGTTCAATTCTAATTTTTAACAGATTGTTTTCTTCTGTTAGATTTTGTACTTTCTTGTCCAGTTGGTCAATTGTATTTTTAAGGGATTTGTTTTCTTCGGTGTATTTTTTCCAGTTGGCCAATTGTATTTTTAAAGGATTTGTTTTCTTCAGTGACTTAGACTAATTTTTAGAGAGTAAATATTATTAGCATATCAGTCCTTGTTGTTTTGATAACATTTTTGTTGTCAACTAAAACCATGTGTTTAAATAGTTTAAGGCATAAAATGCGATAGCCTTCTTTTTTCTTTTAGTCAATATTGCCTCTCAGGAAAGAAATGTTTTAAGTTTTGCAAATATGTGTGAGTTGTATATGTTTAGAGCAGGCTTAGAGCAACTCAAATATTTTCACAATAAAATGAGTCCCAGAAAGCTATAGAATTGCCCATAGCTAATAAATTAAGATAGAAACTAACACTTTTACCACGTTCATCAGTCATACTTAATTTATTCCCAAATAATTTCACTGATAAATAATTCAGTGACATTCACTTACATACCTCTCACTTCTTTTTCTGTAGCCTATGAAAACTTAAGAAGGAAAATACTTTTCTACCCTTAAAGTACTGCTACAAGTATACAGAATAATTTCTCCTTTATATTGTATAAATATACTTTTGTTAGCCCTAGATCCTCATGCTCTAGCAGTGGCTTCCCTCCCCTTTATTGCTACCCCTCCCATAAAGCTTTGGGGCCACAGGATAATGAAGAAAAAGACCTTTGTGCATCTCAGGAAGATTTATTGCCCACATTAACCTGGCAAAGCCAAAGGAAGCCAGCTGCCTAGTGTTATGCAGAATTCTGGCAAGATCTTTTCTCTCTCCTTCCCACCTTGACACAATCCTTCCAAATCCTCCCCTTCACAAACCTTTTCTTAATTCCTTTTTCCTTACCCCCTAGAGAAGGGCTTACATCCTGTTCAGGCTTGATTTGGGGGATGAAATAAGGCACTCATAAATCATGGAATAGTTAAAGGAGATAGACTTACCTCTTACATAGCAAGGATGTACAACAGAGACACAGTAGCACTTAGCTTTTATAGCACTTCCCTTGTGCTATAAAGATTGGAATGAAGCGGTATAAGTTCTCAAACTTAACAAAATGAAGCCTGAGGTAACTCCAAAGAAAAATGCCCTTGGCAAGTTCCACTGCAATTTGGGTAGCTTTCCCCTGTCCATATCACCTGGAGGATCAAAACTTTTCCTCTGAAGATTATGTTCATAGAATTGCAGCACTTCTGCTTTGCTATGGTATATGACCTTGGCAGAATGGGGAGCTAGGTGGTACAGTGAATAGAGCACTGAACCTGTTGTCTGAAATACCTGATTTCAGATCTGGCCTCTGATACTAGTTGTGTGACCCAGGGCAAGTCATTTAGCCTTTGTCTGCCTCAGTTTCCTCATCTATTTAAAAAAAAGGGGCGGGGGATAAAGTAGCACCTACCTCCTTGTGTTGTTGTGAGGGTAAGATATTCGTCAATTGCTTTGCAAATTTAAAGCACTATTTAAATGCTATTACTATTACTAGAATACATGGCCACTTAGAATACAAAAATTGCTGTGGTGCATGGAGAGATCATTGTACAGACTGCATTCAACTAGGTAATTAGAAGTATAGTTGTATTAGTAATTTTGGCCCAAATTCACATGTAAGTGAATCTCTCCACTCCCAGGCTGTCACACATTAAGTGTCAGAACCAGAATTTGAAAGCAGGACCTCTGGTTCCATGCCCAGGGCTCTTTCTACTGTACTCTACTGTACTGAAGATAAGTCTTATAAGGTCTTTCATGTTTGGGCCGAAAATTCACTCCTATGTGTTGTGTTGAAAATGGTATAATGGCAAAAAGGATTTTACTTTCATGCTCCATCCAGCCAGTCAAACCTTACTCAGTGGCTTCCTTGGATCCTCCCCAGAAATGGAAATAAAATAAAAAAAGGATGTAGGTGGCAAGAAGAGACAGAGAGAGAAAAGAGAAGAGAGGAGAGAAAAGACAATAAGGAGGAAAAGGAGAAAAAAGAAGGAAAGAGAAAAGATGGAGGAGTGAAAATTCTAAAAGATGCTCAATTATTTTCTTTTTGATCCATTGACACCCCTCCTCAATACTTTGACTCTAGTCTTTCTAAAAATAACTTCTTTATCCCCATTCTATATTAATTTTCTCCCACCTGGAATCACTATTAAGAGTTCTAATCTCATCCATGGTCTCTGGATGAACATGCTTTTTTAAGGTGTAAAAATTACCTTATTGCCTCTTCTCAGTTCCAAAATTAACACTCGTATTTGTATATGTCAAACTCAGTTCCATTTTGATTATATTATCCCCGGAGAGACTGAATCAACTCTCAGTTCTCATGATTGATTTCTGCTGTTTTCTGGTCTGAGGCAGTTGGATGGCATAGAGCAATGGTGTCAAACTAATAGAACTTGATACCATTAAAGCATACATAAAGATCCCCATAGGTGCCTATTGACTTAGAAAACCACATATTAACATGATCTATGTTCTGTTGTATTTTTATTTTGTTAAATATTTCCCAGTTACTTTTTAATCTGTGTGCATGTGAAAGTATCATAGGCTTCATGTTTGACATCTCTGGTGCAGTGGATTGAGCAGAAAACCTAGCATCAAGAAACTTACTTTACTTATTAGCTGCACGACTGTAGGCAAGTCACTTAACCTCTCTAATACTCAGTTTCCCATCTATAAAATCAGGATAAAGCAACTACTTCACTGGCAATCAAGCAAGATAATATATGTAAAGTTCTTTGTAAACAATAACATGTTATAAATGTGTTCGCTATTATTATTAGTTTTTTCATAATTCGATTTATCTTTGCTTTCCATTTATTATCTACAGGCATGGGATGGGATTGGGATTTCTCTGGTATAAAGAAACTTTGGGTGAGGAAATTCTTCTGTCAATGTATATCTGTATCTTCTCTGCAAATTACAGTCTTAGAGAATTTCCTAGGACATTGAGAGGTAGAGTGATTTGGAGGCACATAGTCTATATATGTCAAAAGCAGGACTCAAACCCAGGTCTTTTTGGCTTTGAGGCAGGCTCTACATCCAATTCCCCATACTACCTCTTGTGTCATATACATGTGTACTTGATTTCATACTTCACAGATCCATGATTTTATTAGTGGGGGCAATCCCTCACCAATACAGATCATTAATCATGGCCCTTCTACACTTTAGTTTCAAAAGTTGCTACAGCTTGGTAAAAAAAAAAAAAAATCATGACTTATAGACAGCTTTTGGTAATAAGTCACTCCCACTTAAAATTTAGCTAGCATGTTCCTCTGATAATAGACATGTAATCTATTGCCAGGCTCACCCTTAAAAGATTTTCTAGTTTGGTGGGAAATGATCAGCTTCTGTTCTATTGACATAGCTTTTGAGAACCCAGGATCACCTCCATGCCACGCAGTGAAGCATGATTGTCAGACTTTAGTGGAAGATAAAAAGTATGCTTTATTCTTCTATTTATGGATTTGAAACAGGGCACTTTTTAAAAATGTACTTTGATTAATACTGTTTATATCTTTTTAGTATGTGTAGTTATTAGTAAACATTTCATTTTAGAGGATACCTGAATTTTACTAGTTTTAAAAGAATTTAATTTCATCTCATATGAATTGTAAAGCAAACTAAAAAGAAATAAATAGCACACAGCTTTCTACCAGATCTGTTTTACAGTATCTCTGCTAATTCAGTTCATCAAATTTTTAATTACTAGAAAGCATGTTGTTAGGCACTGGGGGAGATTAAAACATCCATTAGACACATTTCTTGCCCTCTTGGAGGGTGAGATCTGAAGAAAGATAATTTCTGATTGGATGGAAGGAGTTGGGGTTTTTTGTTTTGTTTTGTTTTGTTTTTAAACTAGATCTGGCATGTTAGCTGAGCTATAAAGAATGAGCACCAGGAAGAAATGAGGTTTGGGAGAGGAGAAGGATATTCCAAGTGTAAAATTCTGTAGCAATATTGCCAATTTATGATCAACTCAGGATCACATTTCCATAGAGTTTATTCTTTCTATTCAGTTGCTTTTCCATTATTGCATTATTTGTTCAAACCACATTGAATATCTTGAAATCTTGGTGAAAAGATATAGTGGTCCCAGCTTTTCAGTTGGTAGAGAGACCATAATGCCAATCAAAAACCAAGTTCCTTTATGTTCAGCCATGACAATACTTCCTTCTACCAACTGCCAGTCCACTGTTACCTTGCTTTTCTCACAAAATAGCCTTGTTGTAATTGTCACATTGAGTATTTCTTCACATTTCTCATTCTCAAAATGTACACTGGGTAAGTCAATCAACGAATCACTCAGTTCTGTTCCATTGAATGTCCAGCCACTGACAACGTTCATTTTCTCTGGAATCAAAATGTGTTCTGCAAAATCCTTTTCAGGGACACAGATGGGAAGTCCATTGCTACCACATTGAATGGGCTCATTAAGCTCTAGCAGTGCAAGGTCGTTCTGCCCCATTTCTTGATCATATCTCATATGCACGTGCTTGCTCTTTATTTTTATCTCTAGTGGGGCTCCTGGTATACCATCTTCACCTGTTTAGTAATGACACAATCACAGATCACTTTAGAAAAGTATTAAAAATTTCCAAAGCAAAGGGAATTCAATCACAGACAATTGTTATTTCTTATGTGATCCTAGCTCCAATAGGACAGTACCCACAAAGGCTACATATGGATAGTCAGTCAGTAATCCCTGTGGCACCTATTTATACATGGTGACAGGATAGAGGTCAATTACGATTTAACAAAAGCCCAGTTGTTTTGTTACTCTTCTCTCCCCTCCCTTCATCCCCAATCAGAATCAAAAGTAAATAAGAGTTGACAATTTCATGCTGTCCTTGAGAATTCATTTTTGAGGTGATGAAATGTTTAACAGGTAGTTGGGAGGAGGAAAAATCAAAACCTGAACGAGCCCATGAACAGGATAACCTGAAAATTGAGGGTTCAGAAATAACTTTTTGATATGTCATTTGATCTTTTTAGGGGTCACAGATTTAGAGCTGAGAGAGACCTCAGGGGACATCTAGTCCCATCTCCTTTTTTTTATAGATGAGGAAACTGAGGTCAAGAGAAACCAAGTGATGTGCCTAATGTCACACACGTAATAAGCAGCAATGAAACTTTTTTCTTTTTTTCCTTTTTTTTTTTTTTGCAGGCAACTGGGGTTAAGTGACTTGCCCAGAGTCACACAGCTAGTGTCAAGTGTTTGGTCTGAGGCCGGATTTGAACTCAGGTCCTCCTGACTTCAGGGCCAGTGCTCTATCCACTGCGCCACCTAGCTGCCCCAAACCTTTTTTAAAATTAGTTTTTATTGATGAGTTCTTTTTGTTTTTTGTAATCAGTTTTCTCCAGTATACTTCTTCTCCTTCTAAGAGTCATCCCATATAACAAGTAGTATTTTTTTAAGACAAGAAAAAGACGAGGAAAAAAATCAGAATAACTGATCAAATACATTGAAAAATCCTGAAAATATATATTATGTACAGTACTTGTGGACCTCCCACCACTGCAAAGGATAGGAAGATCTTCTCATATCTCTTCTTTCAAACCACATTTGTTCTTTAATATTTCACAACATTCATTTTTGGTTAAATCACCATTTTAATTCAGGTCCTTTTATTCCAGCTCTAACACATGTGGCTTCATCATTGAGCCCCTCAAGAATCCATCATTTAGTGACTACACTACTATTGATGTGCCTCTCCTCAGGCAGCAGATTCAGTCAGTCACTAGGACTGTAGCTAAAGCCTTTCCAGGTTTGTAGAATTTGTCAGAGCTTACACTCCACATCAAAATTTAAAATAATGATAATAATAAAAAAATAAAAATTATCTAACACTTTAAGGTTTGCAGAGTACTTTCACATGTTATTTCATTTGATCCTTGCAACAATCCTGGGAGATGGGAACTGTTATTAGCCCCATTTTCCAGATGAGAAAACTGAGTGACTTGCCCAGGATCCCACAATTAGTGGCTGTGGCTAAATTTGAACTCAGAACTTCCCGACAAATCCAGCTTTGAACCCACTGTGCCACATAGCTAGATGAGTACAGCTTTCATGGAGGCTGTATATGTCCCTTTGTGTTCCTAAAAAAGGTTCAAGAACCGGACCCTACCCTAGGTTGTATAAATGTTCACTTTACTCCAAAAAGCTTGAGTTCACTAGATCAGCCCTGAAAAGTCAATTAATTCACCTGTTAGAGTTCTGCGTTGGGGAAGACTGGTGTCTGTTTAAGTTTGCATAGATCTAAGTGTTAGGCTGTTGACAGTTTGAGAAAACTATGCAAAACAGGTATCTTTGACAACATCCCATCTAAAGATGTGCAGTCTTCTCTGAGAGAGCAGTTCTGCTTTTTATACTCATTTCCTGTCAATCTGACCCTGATTCATTCCCCAATTTTAGGGCCCTCTTGGACCACTGCTTCTATGGTAAATAGAGATAAGTTTTATAACCAACACCACACATCATTTACCAAGGTCAGCTCCGAAAGGATTTATGACCTAGATACAAAAAGTCACATCATAAATAAGTTAGAGGAACAAGAAAAATAATCTTGCAGATTATCAATAGACTGTCTTGATTACATAAAATTAATTTTTTTTTTTGGTACAAGCAAATCTACTGTGGCTAAGATTAGAAGGAAAACTAACTGGGAAAAAATTTTGTAGCAAGTTTCTCTGATAAAGACTTCAATTCCAAAGGATTCAAATTGGTAAGAATAGGAGCCAATTGCCAGTTGAGAAGTGGTCAAAAGAGGTGAATGGGCAGTTTGCAGAGAATAGGGGGAAAATAAGCTTTTACATAGTGCCTACTATGTGGTGTCTCGTGTGATCCTCACAACAGCCTTGAGAAATAGGTGCTGTTATTATCCCCACTTTATAGTTTGGGAAACTGAGGCAAACAGCCTAAGTTGCACATGGTCACACAGCTAGTGTCTGAGGCTAGATCTGAACTCAGAGCTTCCTGATTCCAGGCACAACACTGTATCCACTATACCACCTAGTTGCTTCTGTCTATAGCCATATCCATTAAACTGGCAAAGTTGTTAAAAATAGAAAATCACACATTAGCGGGGCTGAAAGAAAACGGTGCTTTAATGCACTATTGGTGGAGCTGTGAATTGGTTTAGCCATTCTGGAAAGCAATTTGGAACTATTTCCAAAAAGTTACTGAGTTGTGCATGTCTTTTGACCCAGTGATGCTATTAGGCTTATTCCCCAAAGAGTTCAAAGGGAAAATTTTTTTGGGGGGGAAAAAATTTATACCAGCTCTTTTTTTTTTTTAGTGCCAAAGAATTGGAAATTAAAGGGGTATCCATCAGTTGAGTAATACTGGAAAATAATATGGTATGTGAATGTAGTGGAATACTATTGTGATGTAAGAAATAATGAAAGAGATAGTTTGGATTTATATGAACTGATGCAAAGTTAGGTGAACAGAACCTAGAGAACAGTTCATACAATAATATCAACATTGTAAAAATTAGCAATTTTGAAAGACTTAAGAACTGTGATAAATGCAGTGATTCATCATTATGCCAGAGAACCAGTGAAAAAGAATGCTACCCACTTCCTGATAGATGGACTGATTAATAAAATGAGACACTCGTTTGTGGACATGGCTAATATGGGAATTTGTTTTGCTTGATTATGCTTATTTGTACAAGGGTTTTGTTTTTATTTTTTTTCCTGTGGTAAGGAAAGTGGGAGAGGAAAAATAAATGCTTAACAACTGGAAAAAATTAACAAAAAATTTTTATAGTGACTTACAGATGTTTTCCAATGTTAAATGATGTTGTATTACTGCATATTTTTATGATGCTATAAAGTTTTCTGCTTTTCTATTTATTTTTATTCTGAATTTTGTTGTTGTTCAGTTGTTTTCAGTCATGTCTGACTTCATGACCCTATTTGGGGTTTTCTTGGCAAAGATACTGGAGTGGTTCACCATTTCCTTCTTGTGCTCATTTTACAGATGAGAAAACTGAGGCAAAAACAGAGTTAAGTAACTTGCCTAGGGTCACACAGCTACTAAGTGTCTGAGGCCAGATTTGAACTTAGGAAGATAAGTCTTCCTGACTCTAGGCTGGGCACTCTATCCACTGTGCCACCTAGCCGCCTCTATGCTGAACTTAATGAACACCAAATAAAATGGGCATTTCCATATGTATAAAACAAAAAAGAAAAACATCTTTCTCCACCATGCCCCCTTCCAAGTACCAGGTACCCTCCCCTGCTTCTCAGCTTCCTTTTATGTATCGTCTTCCCCTAGTAGAATGTAAGCTGCTTGAGGGCAGGGATTGTTTTTATATCCCCAGCTCTTAGAACAGTGTGTGGAACATAATTAGGACTTAGAATTTCCGGGTCAAAGGATAGGGTATTTTAGCCACTTTTTTAGTATAATTCTAAATTGTTTTCCAGAATTGTTGGACTAATTCAGACCTCCACCAATGATGTAGTGACCTATTTTTGTGCAGCCCCTTCAACATTGCCTTTATCCATCATTTGTCAACTTTACCAATTTGTCAGGTGTGGGGTAATACCTCAGAGTTGGTTTGATTTTAATTTCTTTTATAATTAGTGATTTAGAGCAAACTTTCATGTAGTATTTAATCACTTCCAATTCTTTTGAAAATTATTTATACATATTCTTTGACCACTTATCCACTAAAGAATGATCCTAGATGTTTATGTTAGTTCCCTATATATCATGAATTTCAGACTTCTCTCAGAGATATTTGAGGCAAAGATTTAATATCCCACTCAATAGTTTTCCCTCTTATCCTAATTGTATTGGTTTTCGTCATGAAATTAATTTGGTTAAGAATTCTAGCTTCATTTTTCAAATATATAGAGAACTGAGTCAAATTTATAAGAATACAAGTCATCCCCCAATTGATAAATGGTCAAAGGATATGAACAGGCGTTTTCAGATGAAGAAATCTAGCTATCGTCATATGACAAAATGCTCTAAATCACTATTGATTAGAGAAATGCAAATTTAAGAAAAAAAAACAACTCTGAGCTACTGCCTCATACCTATCAGATTGGCTAATATGACAGAAAAGGAAAATGCAAATGTTGGAGGGGATGTGGGAAAATTGGGACACTAATGAACTGTTGGTGGAATTGTGAACTGATCCAACCATTCTGGAGAACAATTTGGAACTATGCCCAAAGGGCTATGAAATTGTGCGTACCCTTTGATCCAGCAATACCACTACTAGGTCTGTATCCTAAAGAGATCATAAAAAAAGAGAAAAGGACTCACATGTACAAATATATTTGTAGCAGCTCTTTTTGTGGTGGCAAAGAATTTGAAATTGAGGGGATGTCCATCAATTGAAGGATGGCTGAGCAAGTTGTGGTATATGAATGTAATGAATTGTTCCATAAGAAATGACGAGCAGGCGGATTTCAGAAAAACTTGGGAAGACTTACATGAACTGATGCTGATTGAAGTGAGCAGAACCAGGAGAACATTGTACACAGTAACAGCAACACTGTGCGGTGATCAACTATGAATGACTTGGTTATTTTCAGCAATACAATGATCTAAGACCATTCCAAAGGATTCATAATGAAAAATGGTACCAGACTGATGGAGTCTGAATGCCAATCAAAGCATATGATTTTCACTTTCTTTGCTTTTGTGTGTGTGTGTGTGTGTGTGTGTGTGTGTGTGTGTGTGTTTCCTTTTGGCCTGTTTCTTCTTTCACAACATGACTAATATGGAAATAGGTTTTACATGATTGCACATATATAACCTATATCAAATTGCTTATCATCTTAGAAAAAAGTGAGGGGTGGTGAGGGAGGAAGGTAGAAAGTTTGGAACTCAAAAAAAATTTTAAATGAATGTTAAAAGTTGTCTTTACATGTAATTGGAAAAAATTAAGTACTATTAAAAAAGAAAAAAATAATTCCATCCTAGCATGACTAAATCTTAACCTATACTATGACGAAATAATCATCAAAGATATTTGGTGGGCTAAAAAATAAAATACTTGATCAATGGAATGTATTAAGTAAACAAGACCCAGAAGAAACTGAACATAGGATCAAGGTATTCCATATAGCCCAAGACACCAATTACTGGACTCCATGTTCAACAAAAATTGTTGAAAAAACTGGAAAGTATCCTGGTAGAAATTAGGGTCACACCAATATCTTATACCATATATCTCCAAATAGATATGTGACAAACATAAAAGGTTATATTTCTTTTTTTTTAAAAAGTTAGAGAAGGGATGGCAATAACTTTCACAACTGTGAGTGAGAATATTAACTAAAGAAGGGATAGAAGTTATTAGAGAAAATAAACTTGAAAAGCTTTTACAAAACTAAAATCAATCGATCCCTTGTTTATTTCTTATCCTTCAACACATCTATTAGGGGATGACTCTTCCCTATGTATCTTAGATATCAGATCTTTATCAGAGTTATTGTTTGTGTAATTTTTTTCTCATTTAAGTGCTTAGAATTAAAAGAGAAGCAGTAAAGTGAAAAAAGCAATCCCACAAAAAAGCTCTGATAAAAGTATGATATCCAAGATATAAGGAATTAATATAAATATGTAAGCCATTCCCTAACAGACTTTTTTTTTTTAAGGCAATTGGGGTTAAGTGATTTGCCCAGGGTAACACAGCTAGTCAGTGTCATGTGTTTGGTCTGAGGCTGGATTTGAACTCAGGTCCTCCTGACCTCAGGGCTGGTGCTCTATCCACTGTGCCACCTAGCTGCCCCCCTAACAGACATTTAAAAGAATATGAAAAATCAGTTCTCAAATAAAGAAATAGAAGCTATCAACATCCATGTGAAAGAATATTTCAGATCCCATCAATAAAATAAATGTAAATTAAAGAATTCTGCCCCAGCCATAGTTGTAAAAGGTAATTGATTTCACTCCCTTTCTATTTTTTTTATGGTTTATGTCATAAAGATATTCAAGTTGTATCTCCGTTTTTAGTTTATTGTGGCATAAGTTGTTGGTCTAAACTTTATTTCTGTCAAAACAACCTCACTTTTCCCAGTAATACTTTTTAAGTAGGGATTTCTTCCCCAAGTAATTTATGTTCTTGAATTTATCCATCATTAGCTTCTTAGGTTCAATTATTTCTGATTCTTGCTTATCTAATCTCTTCCATTTGTCTACTTTTCTATTTTTTAATCAGTAGTAAATAATTTTGATGATTGCTACAATATAGTATAATTTTAAGTCTGGAAGCATTATTCCCTCTTCATTGCGCCTTTAAAAATTATTTGCCTTGAGATTATAGAGATTTTGCTACTCCAAATTAATTTTATTCAAAAATTTTACTTTCAACGAACACTTGTAAAAAGTGATGAGGTGACAGTAATGATTACTTACTTAGCTTCACACTGATGTTTCCATGTAGGAGTGAACATTTTGCTGTAGTCAACACAAAATTTTCCTGTACTATAACACCACCGCAGAAGTCCTTTCCTTGTGAATCTGTTAATTTGACCTTAAAAAAAAAAAGACATAGTTATTCAGTCAACACTATTTACAACAGCATATAATAGAGGTCTCGTTTCTGCCCCCCTCCAATTTGATTTGTATCCAACCCCAAAATTATGTCTTAGTGGCCACCCTTCATTAGAAGATGTCAGAGTCCTTGACTTGTCTCAGACATTTGCTTACTGTAGCCAGTCATTTAACCTCCCCAGACCTGTAAAATTAGAGGGTTTGACCTTGATGAACTCTCTAAAGTCTTTTCCAATTTGAAAGCTGTGATCCTGTGATCCATATTTTTCCTTTCAAAAATGATTTATTTTTGAAGATATAGCCAATATTAAAATCAATATATTAATAATAAAAAAAACAATTTGGGGGAGGAAGGGGAAGCATCAGAAATTTAGTCCAGCCTTATTTTTGTCACTTACAAGCATTCAGCAGATATTGCCTTTTTTTATTCTTAGGTAGGTGCATTCACTGAAAGTTACCGAATTCAGAATTTAGAGGGAGTCTCATTCGAGGGAGAAAAAAGCACTGACAAGTTTAAGTGAGATTTTAATTTAAAAATGACTTCCTTTCTGCAGTTACCTTTGAATGCAGAGAAATGCAACTCCTTAGGAAAGCATAATGGAATTCAGTGACCATGCTTTTTAAAAACCAGATGATAGAAGAAAGAAAATAGCACAGTGCCTATAATAAATGCTAGTTGACTGACCAAACATGCCGATAACCAAGAATTTCTGAGTATTTAAAAAAAATTGATGACATTTTTCTAGGTAGTTCTTTTCTTTTTCCTTTTAAAAAACTAAATAAGTGGGCATTTCCACATATATTGTAGAAAAGGAGATTATATGTGAAACTACCAATCTCTATTATATAGGACAGGCTTTACTAGGTGATTCTGAGTGACTTTATTTGACTCTTTTTAGTGACAACTCTACAGTGGAAGAGGGCAAGTTTAGAAGCAATGGATGACAGAGTAGCATTTTAGCCTGAAGTAAGAAGAAATGCCAAATAATTAGAGCAATTTTAAAAGTGGCCTTGGTGGCCTCAGGAGCGTATGAATTCCACATCTCTGGGGGTTATTCAAAAAAAGCCTGAGTAACCACTTATCAGGGGTGTTTTAGAGGCATTTCTGTTCAGATATGGGCTGGTCTAGATATTCTGTAATAGTTGGCATTTCTGTACTACTTTTAGGATTCCAAAGTACTTTCCTCACAACAGCTCTGTGAGTTAGCTATTTCAAGTATTATTATCTCCATTTTACATAGGAGGAAACAGGCCCAGAAAGATTTGTTCATGGTTACACAACTGGTAAGGGTCAGAATTGGGATTCCAATGCTGCCTACTAATTAGAACTCCAGTGCTTGCTCTCTCTCTCTCTCTCTCTCTCTCTCTCTCTCTCTCACATATCTATATATGTATATATAAAAATATATATAAATATATATGTATCACTTTATATATATTATACACACATCTATATGTGTATATATAAATATATAGATGTTATAAGTATCACTATATAATACACATCTACACATATATAAATATATAGATGTTGTAAGTATCACTCTATATGTGTATATTATATACATCTATATGTATATATAACTATATAGATATATAAGTAATACTTTATATATATCACATCTATGTATATATATAAATATATATAGATGTGTATCACTTTACGTATATATTATACACATCTATATGTGTGTACATATAAATATATAGATATATAAGTATCACTATGTATACAGCATGATACTTATACACCTATATATTTATATATATGCACATATAGACATATGTGTGTAATATATATTTATACATACACATATATACAATACACACATATTGTATCACTATATTGTCATTATGAAACTTAAGATTTTTAACCTTTGTTGTGTCATGGACTTGTTTGGCAGTCTGGTGAAGCTTGTGAACTCTTTCTCAGAATGATGTTTAAAATACAAAAAATAGGATTACAAAGGAAACCAATTATATTGGAATAAAGATACAAGGGGCAGCTAGGTGGCACAATGCATAAAGCACTGGCCTTGGAGTCAGGAGGACCTGAGTTCAAATTCAGCCTCAGATACCTACTAGCTGTGTGACCTTGAGTAAGTCACTTAACGCTGATTGCCTTCCAAGAAAGAAAAAGAAAGATGTAATTTTCTTCTCATCTAAATTCATAGGCTCCCTGAGATCTACTCTGGCATGCTTTTGGGAAGGGTCTGTGGACTCCAGTTTAAGAACCCCATGGGCTAGGTGATCTCTAAGGCTCTGTTCATCTCTTAATTCTATGACCCTATAGAGTTATGAATCATCTTCATAGAAGGGATCATTGAAGTCATGAGAATAGATAATACTGAAAGAGGGAAAAGTATAGAGAGGATGAATGGCCAAAAGCAGAATAATCATGTAAGGGGAATTAGGGAAGAAGAAACCAGGATAGAGCATCTATCTACCATGCTTGACTGGCTGGTCTTGTGGCACACATGGCCAATGTTGAGAAAACAACTATCTCATTAAATCGGAAAACCTCAAAGACTTTGAAAGACCATTATCACATGGCAAACCACAATCATTTGACATTGCATAGAAACAGCTATAGGACATTGAGGATGCAGACCATATTAAAATCAATATATTAATAATAAAAAGAACAATTGGGATGGGGGGGAAGCACCTAAATTTTACTCTAGCCTCATTTTTGTCACTTAAAAATGTTAGGTAGATATTACTTTATTTTATTCTTGGGTAGATACATTCACTGAAAGTTACCAGACTCAGAATTTAGAGGGAGTCTCAGTTGAGGGGGAAAAACACTCAAAAGTTTAAGTGGTATAGGACATTGCCTCTACATGCTTTTATTTTAAAAGAGAGAACATTGATGCTGTTTTGAAGTAAAGAAAAAAGATCTCGTGGGGGGACAGTCTTTTGCCATTTACTCTTTTTCATGTCTTATAAAGATAATTGGAGAAAGAACTTTGAAAACATAATATAAGTATTATGATCTGACAGTTTGGTTTTGCTTAAGTATTTGTATTTTTAAAACAATGATATTTTTATTTTTGTGGTAGCTCATATTAAATTGCACATTTCTAACTGATATATTTTCATTTGGTGAAGACAGTGGAAATGTTTGTTTAACAAATTGAAACACCTACCACCACATATGTATGGGGCAGTTAGGTGGCACATTGGATAGAGTGTAGGGCCTGCACAAGAAGACTCATCTTTCTTTCCTTTTTTTTTTTTTTTTTTTTTTTTTTGGCAATTGGGGTTAAATGACTTGCCCAGGGTCTCACAGCTAGTAAGTGTCAAGTGTTTGGTTTGAGGCCAGATTTGAACTCAGGTCTTCCTGACTTCAGGGCTGGTACTCTATCCACTGCGGCACCTAGCAGCCCCAAGACTCATCTTTCTGAGCTCAAATCTGGTCTCAGATTTATTATCTGATTATTATTATTTATTATCTATGCAGATAATTGGTTTAAACAATTAGCAATTAGCAAATATTTATTAAGCACCTACTATGGTGACAAATGGGCAGCTAGATGAACAGTGGACAGACCCTGGAGTCAGGAGAATTCATCTTAGTGAGTTCACGTCTGGCCTCAGACACTAGCTGTGTGAAACCTGGGCAAGTCACTTAACCCTGTTTGCCCTCAGTTCCTCATCTGTGAAATGAGCTGGAGAAAGAAATGGCAACTATACAACTGAAAAATGACTGAACAACAACACATATGTATACACATGTAACTACACACAGAATCTTGAGTGTTTATTAAGGATAGATTTCCATTACCTGCCATGGAAAATTTTGGAGAGTCAGCTTGGCATCCGTCAATGTCACATTACTTTTAGAACTGAGGATTCCACATGCACACTTCTCTTCAATAAGAAGAACATGGAGAAAGTCATTGAAATCTGGGTCAAAGGTAAATTCTTCTTATGTTGATAGAAAATATTTATTAATTAATATCTAAAATCTAATGCTAGTTTTGATTTAATCCTTTGTAGGATCCTGACTATTTTAGTCATAAAACTTCAAGGAATTTGCAGTTTACATAATATGATATAATATAGTGTAATAAAATATAATGTCACAATAAATATAATAATATAACAATCAATCATATAATAGTCAATAGAGTTTGGTGGCCATTACCCTTTATTTTCCATCATGAAGCTGAAGTTTGCTGATTAACGTTTGGACGTGAGGAAGAACAATTCTTCATTACAATGAAATGGGCCAAGCTTCATGACCTTTAGATCACCATTTATAAGATAGAAAGGAAGAACCTTGACACATATAGATGAGAGATTGTCTAACCTAGTAGTGTCAAACTCAAATAAAAACAAGGAATACCAAAATGTGCATAAGGAGCACTATAGGTCACATATGACTTAATTTTAAAATGGAATATTATCTATGTTTTATTGTATTTTTATTTATTTTGTTAAATATTTCCCAATTACATTTTAATCTGGTTCAGACCACACTTGGGAGTGTTGTGGGCTGCATGTGGCCTGTGGACTGCACGTCTGACACCTCTGGTCTGACCTGTAATACTAAAATCTTCTCTCTGATTTGTGTACTTACCATTTGGAATACATGATCTGTGATCCTTTCCAAGTTTATAACCCTTTGCACAACTGCACATATAAAATTCCTGCCCTGGACGACAAAAGTGGTCGCATCCTTTACTTCTCTTGGAATGACATTCATTTTTAGCTGACAGGAAAAATCACAAACATTAATATGAGTGTGGAAAAACAATCTCATTTATAACTTCCTTATACCCATTTTCTCAAATTTGAGGTTCTAACATTTTCCCATTGTTTCTTCACATAAGAATTTTTATGACACACAGAACTACATAAAAATCAACTAATATACTTTTTTTTCTTTGGCTAGGCAATGGGGTTAAGTGACTTGCCCAAGGTCACACAGCTAGTAAGTGTCAAGTGTCTGGTTTGAGACTGGATTTGAATTCAGGTCCTCCTGACTCCAGGGCTGGTGCTCTATCCACTGTGCTACCTAGCTGCCCCATATAAGATACTTCTAAGTGAAAATTTTTATGTTATTTTTCCAAATTCCTTGTAAAAATTATTTTTAACATTCATTTAAAAAAAATTTTGAATTCCAAATTCTCTTCCTTCCTCTCTCCCCCCTCCCCTCATTGAGAAGGCAAGCAATTTGATATAGATTATTATAACATACTTTTTACAGAAATATTGGGAGAGTTAAATAATTGGGAAGATATTCAATATTTATTTTTTGGTCTAGACCACTATTCTCAGTCTAAAATATCTAGGGAAAAGAGATTTCCAAGGATTAGGATTGCTAAACCTTTCTCTTTGCCTATTCCAGTATACAATAATGTAGGTGGTATAGTGAAAAAAAGTACTTTACCTGGAATCAGGAAGTCAGGAAGACCTGAGTTCAAATCTGTTCTTAGACACTTCCTAGTTTTATGACCCTGGATAAGTCATTGAGCCTCTCTTGGCTCCATTTCCTCACCTACAGAATGGGGATAATTGTAGCACCTACTTCACTAGGTAGCTGTAATAATCAAATTAGATAACATACGTAGAGCATAGTGCAAACCTTAAAGCCAGCTGTCATTATTAAAATTCCCCAATTGTTTTTGAAGTAATTAACATTTATATAACACTCAGGATTTATAAAACACTTTCCTCACACTAACACTAAGGAAGATAGTGCAAGTATTATTATCCCCATTTTTCACATGAGAAAACTGAGGTTTAGAAAGTATCAGTGACTTGCCCCGGCATACAACTAGTAAGTAAATGGCAGAACCAAGATTTGAGCACGTGGTCCATGCTCTTTCTACCCTACCACACTTCCTAATGTCATATTAAGCTAAAAGTACACAGAACAGTAAGGAAATTCTCTCTTTAATGCTACTGAAAGGCCAAGCAGGCTGAAAATAATTTTTTGTTGTTTGTTCAATCGTTTCCAGTTGTGTCCTGCTCTTTGTGGCTCCAATTGGGGGTTTTCTGTTTTCTTTTTATTTGGCGAGGCAATCAGGGTTAAGTGACTTGCCCAGGATCGGACATAGCTAGCGAATATCGTGTGTCTGAGGCCGGATTTGAACTTAGGTCCTCCTGACTCTAGGGCCTGTGCTCTATCCGTTGAGCCACCTAGCTGCCCCTAATTGGGGTTTTCTTGACAAAGATACTGGAGTGGTTTGCTATTTCCTCCTCCAGCTCAATTTACAGATGAGGCAAATGAGTGATTTGTCAAAGGTCACACAGCTAATAAGAGTTTGAGGCCAGATTTGAACTCAGGAAGACTTGTCCTCCTGATTCTAGGCCCAGAACTCTATCCACTGTGCCACCTAGCTGCCTAAAAATAATTTTAGTAACAAAATAATAACTAATCAGACTATTTGTAATAATAGCAATCATAGTAACTAATAATCAACAATAATGCTAAGCTTAGGTAAATAGTCCATTTATTCTCTCCTAAAATGGCAAAGAATCTTAATTTCTGTATTTTACTACAAATCCCAAAGTGCAGATGTATACCTTCTTCTGGCCTTTTGAACCTTGCTTACTCAATTCATTTAATATTATATAAATAGCTACAAATCTGAATTCAGTTGCTAATTTTTCTCCCATCCCTTTGACGTGGTCTCCATCCAAAAGAAAAGTTGTAAATGAATAAAAATCATAGACCTCTAAGAGATGGATAATCAAGTAACAGACTCCTTAAAAAAAAAATGAAGAATGAGCTACATTCAAGGAATGCACAGAAGACATCATCAAAGTGGTGACCTTCCTTTGCATGAGACATTATTCAAATAATCTTTTTTGGTTCAGACCTATAATTTCATTGGCAGAGGGGATTCCCAGGAAGGAAATCCCCTATCAATGCATATCAGCAATTGCGCTGCAATTCATGTTTTCAAATTGGTGCATGGAGCTCTGAGAGATTAAGTGATTTGCCTATAGTCACAGAGCCATTACGTGTCCAAAGCAGGACATGAAAACTCAGATCTTTTTGACTCCAAGGCAGGTTATCTATCTACTACAACACTCTGCCCTGAATTTAGGTCATAGTCATATAATGTTTATACCAAGAAGGAACCTTGGAGACCATCTGTCCAATTCTCCCATTTTATAACTGAGGTCACAGTGACTTGGCAATATACTAAACAAGATGTATAACATTAATCAAAGTGTAATAGAGGGGTGAGGACTGACTGGCATTCTGATATTTGTGGTTCAGAGGGATATACATTTCCTCTTGGTCTGGAATGTGATTTGGACTATCACAGTCTTTGAACCAGAAAGTGGATCTGAGTCACATCCAGGATTTTTTAAAAATTGCACACTTTATGCAAAAGAACAGACTAAAAGGAAGGAGTAAGGATGGCATGAGCTGGCATCCTCAGACCCTCCTGGGACTTAACAAAGTGAACTGGGATAGTGCTAGGGAATACAGTCGAGAAAGAAAGGAAACCTAAACTACATGTAGCAGGGAAGCAAGCAATTGAGATGGATTATAAGGTCCCTGCTGGCATCTTAGAGCAAAGCAGCTGATGAGAAAGTTCCAAAAAAATCTACTTTCCCCAACTTGCCCTTTCCTGTTACTGGTGCTGTCACATATTCTTTTCACTGCTTTTACTTGAGCATTACTTGTATCTTAATTTTGCTTCATGTATAAAGAAGTCAGGTTTGGGAGTAAAGACTTGTATTGTGTACTTAGTCTATTCTGGGAAAAGAGGAGGAGCTAGCTTGAAATACACAAATTTTAAATTAGAGCAGAAAACAAAATTTCTCTATGAATTTTAAAAATTTTCCTAACTGGGGGCTCTGAGCTATTATATTAATTTGTTTCATCTGATATGTACTCTATAAAATAACAGGGAAAGAGACTTTGAAAACCTAAGGATCCTTAAATTGCCTCCAGATACTTTAAAAGTTAAAAAAAAATGTTAACTTAAAAATTTTTCTAAACTTCAAAAAACCAAAAAATGTACATTAAAAAAATGTTTAGGCTAAAAGCAAGCTACTTGTTGTACTAGGGTGTGGCTGATTAAATCTTCTGAGAAAAAGAAAGCTCAGAAAAGAGGAGAGTGACCAGAGGAAAGATCACACCCTAAACCAATGTCCAGGGAAAAGACAGGCAAGGCTTGGGAATGTACAGCTCTACTTTTAGAAGGGAGGCAGAACAGAAAGGATCAAGTACCACCTGGCCACCTCTATCCTTCACAATGACACCCACTAGTGTTACATAAGATAATTTCTTTCGTACAAAGACAAGCTGTTTACTCTGCCTTCATGCTGCATTCAGAGTGACCTTTATTTTACTGCAAGTACTCCCACTGTATTCATTGTAAGTGGTACAGAAAAAGCTTATGCCAAAGCTGCTCTCCTTTCTAAGAGGGTCAGATTATTAAAGTATATTACTCATCTGCTCATGCATAATGAAAAATAATTTATATCTTATGCAGGTTTATAATCTATGAACAGAGGCTAATATCCAAAGCAGGGAAAATATGCTAAAAGATATCCTGATGAACATGCTAGTACTCATTATTATTATTAATTGTTCTATTGTATCAGTTCTGTCTGTTTATCAGCAGTTTTATTGTAAAGATAATAACTTTGGGGGGCAGCTAGATGGGGCGTAGTGGATAGAGCACTGGTTCTGCAGTCAGGAGTGTGTAAGTTCAAATCTGGCCTCAGACACTTGACACTTACTAGCTGTGTGACCCTGGGCAAGTCACTTAACCACATTGCCCAGCCAAAAAAAAAGAAAAAAAGATAATAATTTTGTCTTAATATAGCTCTGAATTAAAATTTTTTCATCTTGTCAAGAAATCTTGTTCTCTAATAGGAAATGTATGATGTTAAGCTCCCTAATGGCAGAGACTGCTTCACTTCTGCTCAGAGTTCCCGTGCACTTAGATTAGGGATTAGCAATTGTAATACCTAATCTCCCAGTTCTTCCATCTCCTCAATCCCATTACATTCTACCTCAGCTAGTCAGGAAAAGTCTCACCATTACCCACTTCTTTGATCAGAAAGTCTGAGAATCTTCTGTCTGACTATAAACTCCTAACATTCCATCTCTTCCCTATTCCTCACCCTCAAAGCAACCTCCTATCCCTCCACCCTCTGAGTACTTACTGCTCTTCTATGACTTCCTTTTGCTCCCTTCCCAATATTGACACTATAGTTAACCAATTCACCATCACCTGTTCTGTACTCTCATATACTTATCCTATTGCTGCTTAACTCTTGCTAAAATCCAGCCTTGGATTGCTCCCACCATTTGCATTTCTTTACTCCTACTCAGATGCATCAGAATTGAGCTTGAGGATGAGGCAGTTGTGCTGATTAGGTACCTAATGAATTGTATCTAACTTCAACTGGGCTCTTTCTGCAGTGAGGCAATGCTTTTATAACCCTACTTATAACCCTTTTTATTTGCTATGTCCCAGTAGAATGTAAGCTCCTTGTGGGCAGGGACTTTTTTTTTAACATACATTTGTATCCAAAGTGTTATGACACTTTTTATGACACTTCCATATATTAAGTGCTTAATAGATGCTTGTTGCCTCTCTGCCAGTGATATTGAAATGCAATTATCAAAATATATTTTTAATGCAATTTATCAAAATATTTATGCAATTATATTGCATATATATGCAAATTATATTTTGAATATATTTTAATAAATATGTTTTAAATTTAAATTTAAAATTATATTTTAATGCAGTTATCAAAATATCAAATATCAAATATATCAAAATACATTTTTTAAAGAATCAGATACATAGCCGAAGATTAAGAACCTCTGTCTGGCAGCAACAACCCTAACAGCAGCCTTGTTGAGTCTCCTATTTTCATATGCTAAAAGCAGAGGCTGTTTTTTCTTTCCTACATTTCTTTTGCTTCTTTTTCTTTACTTATAATGCCTATCTACCCCAGTAAATGCTATTTTCATTAGTAATTGGTTCTACTGATGGCAGGAGGTCAGGGAAAGGATGCTGGTTTCTGAATTTCTTAAGTCCCCTTCCTCCATAGCCCTTTTTTAGTGCAGATGGGGTTAAGGTAGCTTAAAAGTTTATGTGCCTCCCAAGAGACTGGCCTATTACAAGGGAATGACTTAGATCCTGGGGAACATAGTCACTAAAGTGAGTCATAGGTAGGTCAGCACTAGGCTTTAAGTCAAGAAGACCTTAGTTCAAAACTGGCCTCAGACACTTACTAGCTGCCCTGCAAAGTTACCCACTTTACCATTTCTCAGTGTAAATCCAAGGAAGGCAAACTCATTTTATTATCAGTAAGTTTCCTCAGCCAAAAATGAAGAGGCTGGATTACATGATGTCTCAGGGGCTATTCAGCTCAAACAGAATATGGTTTATGCTGTATAATTAGAAGTCTAAATCTAAAGCAAAAAAATTTTTCATGCACACACACTAATACCACAGACAATGCTCTCTACAGAAAAGTACGTGGCAGGGCGTCAGAAGACCCAGGTTCTAGTTCTGACTTGACTATCGATTAGTTGTGTAACTTTGGACAAAACATTTGAGTTCTCTGGACCTCAGTTTTTGCCTTTGAAAACGAGGAGGTTGGAGCTCTGAGGTATCTTTCAGCTACATCATTCCATGATCCCAAGCTCTTTTCCTTCAATAATAATGACAGTTAATATTTATATAAGCACTTTAAGGTTTGCAAAGTGCTCTACATAGATTATCTCATTTGATGATAATTAACAACCCTGAGAAGTAAGTGTTATTGTGATTACTATTTTATGAATAGGAGGCAAGTAGGTGGATCAGCAGATAGAGCACTGGGCCTGGAGTCCCGAAGACCTGAGTTAAAATCTGGCCTCAGGCACTTACCAGTTGTGTGACTCTGGATAGATCACCTAACCCTGTTTGTCTCAGTTTCTTCATTTGTAGAATCAGCTGGCGAAGAAAATGGCAAACCACTCCAGTATCTTTACCAAGAAAACCCCATCAACAGTATGGTCCACAGGTCATAGAGAGTTGGATACAGGCAACCAACAGCAACAAACAATAATAACACTTTATAAATGAGAAAATGAGCTTGAGAGAGGTTAGATAACTTGCCTAGGATGTCCCAAAACATGATTGGAACTCAAGTTTTTCTGAATCCAAGCTCAACATTCTATCCACTGCACAACCTCCTTGCCATTCCCTTCACAGATTAGTGTCAATAAATAAGTCTAGCAATAAGAAAATATTTCTGTTAAGTAACATGTAAGCTTTTTTGTTGTTGTTCAGACCTGTGATTTTATTTGTATGGGAAACTCCCCGATTGAAACTTCCTCCACAGAGGCTGATCAGCAACTGGTTTGTACCCTCTAGTCTTACCTTCTAGAGAATTACCTGGTGCACTGAGGGTTTAGGAGATTTGTCCTTGGCCAAAAAACACAATATATGTCAGAGGCAGGTCTTAAATCCAGAGTTTACTGTTCCAAAGCTAACCTTCTATCCATCATCATCATATATCTCCCTAAAGGTTTTAAATAGCTCCACAAAAATGTTATGGTAGAGCTCTTTTTGTGGTGGCAAAGAATTGGAAATTGAGAGGATGCCCATCAATTGGGGAATGGCTGAACATGTTGTGGTATGTGAAAGTAATGGAATACTATTGTGCTCTAAGAAATGATGAACAGGCTGACTTCAGAAAAACCTGGAAAGACTTGTATGCTCTGATGCTGAGTGAAATGAGCAGAACCAGGAGAACATTGTACACAGTAACAGCCATGTTGTTCGATGACTAATATTGATAAACTTAACCCTTCCCAGCAATACAAGCATCTAAGACATCTCCAAAGGCCTCGTGATGGAAAATGCTATCCACATCCAAAGAAAGAACTACGGAGTTTGAGCGCAGATTGAAACATACTATTTGTTATTTTTTTTTCTTCTGTTGAGTTTTGTTTCCTCTTTCTGATGGTTCCTTCTATTGGTTCTAATTCTTACTTACAACATCACTAATGTGAAAATATGTTTAATAGGAATGTACATGTATAGCCTATATCAGACCATCTTGGGGAGGGTGGTGGGGAGGAAGGGGGAGAAAAATTTTAAACTCAAAAGCATATGGAAGTGATTGTTGATAAATCAAAATAAATTAATTAAAAAAAAAGAAAAAATGTTATGCTAGGTGATGGTAGTTAGGTGGCATAGTAAATAGAGCACTGGGCCTGTAGTCAGGAAAACCTGAATTAAAATCCACACTTAGACACCTGCTAGCTGTGGGACCCTGGACAAGTCATTTAACCCTTTTTGCCTCAATTTCCTCATTTGTAAAATGAGCTGGAGAAAGAAATGGCAAACCACTCTAGTATCTTTGCCAAGAAAACCCCAAATGGGGTTAGAAACAACTGAAATGACTCAATGACAACAAAACTCAGGGTTGTTCTGAGGATCTAATGTGATAATATTTGTAAAAAACACTTTACCAACTCTAAAAGGATATTCTTAAAATGCTAGCTATTAGTAGTAGTAGTAGCAGAAGTAATAATTGTGAAACATATTACAGGAGACAGTTAATAGACATAATGTATATGCACCAAATTTAGCACAGAAAGAGGAGTTGGAGCTGGTACGGCTTGTATTGTGACCAGCCATTTAATTTGCACCTCTGGCTCTCAGCCAAATAATGTCATTTTGTGACATTATGATGAGGTTTGATAATCTATTAATGATGTTATTATGAAATAACATTGGTAGAGGCAAAGTTATATGGGTTATGTCTCTATTTTATTGATACTTTTGGCCCTTTCTCCACCTAAAAATAGCAATAATACTTCCCCCCTTTATACAATATTTATAGATACACTGTATATTGAGTACTCAATAATCTCTATGTTATACTCTATAAATTATATATATTGCATATAGAGTACTGAGGATTCTATATAATAAACACTCACTTCTGCTTCTCAGGGTGACATCCAATAATCCTAGATGTCACTAGAAGAGGAACCCCTTTGGTTTTGTTACAAAATGAACATAAGGCCCATTTATTAAATTGCTGATGAGCAGCCCATCTACAATGGTGAAGATTTTCTACACTCGGAAGTCCCCACAAAGATCAAATCATAGCTTCTGACTAGAAAAAAAAGACCTATGACAGGAAGAGAATGAGGAGAGGAAAGGGAGTGAATTGTATGTGACGTGAGAGTATGCCTGAAAATTTCATGAAAGGAACAAAATTAAGTCACAACCTTGGCTCTTACCATATTCACAATTTGTTCCCTCATACCCTTCGAGGCAGATGCAAATGTAGTTTCGGATGTAATCCTGACATATTCCATTGTTCAGGCAGGGTTGGGACATACATGGAGTGCCAGCTGTAGAAACACCTCATTAATGAAATACAGCAGGATTTAAGAACTGCAAAACATTTATGGAATATTATTATCTGTAATAAAGGGTATTATTTCAACCTCATTTTAGTCTCCACCTCTGCCTTAGACAATACTTTTATGAGAGCTTTTACAAACTGGCAACCTTGGCAAGCTTAAATTTTGACTCTTGGCCCCCCATTCTATCCACTGTCTGGCTGGGGTTCTTTCAATTAGGAAGACAACCAGAGGACATTAAGTCAAAGAGTATAGTAGAACTAGAGGCAAGGGATAATTAAGGTAATCAGACATAGGATCATAGTTTTAGAAATGGAAGGGACTTTCATGGCTATCTAATTAGACACCTTCCCTCCACCCCCATCCCACTTTACAGATGAGAAAATTGAAATATTAAAATCTTGAGTTTTCCCCTTTTTTGCCCCTTGCTTTCTTAACCGCAAATAGTATTCATTAGTATGTTTTATTTTTTCTAAATTCAATTCAACAAACATTTATCAAAAATTTACTCTGGATGGACTAGAGTAGAGAAAAACTTGAGGCAGGCAGACCCACCTAATCAAGGCATGAGGTGATGGGAGCCTTCACTAGTTAGATTACAATAAAGAGTTGTTTAATTGAATTGATAACTAGCCCTCCTATTCATAACTTAGACTCCACCCTTTTAGGATTACATAAATTGAAGGAGATTTTATAAGAGACTGATTCTTTTTGCAAAAAAAAAAAAGGTACTCTTCTGGTCGATATATGTTTAAAAAAATTACTTCCACTTTGAGTCTGAGTTAAAAATACACTAACTATGTCTTATTCACACACACACAAAATTTTACTCTGTACGCTTCCAGATACTATGGATGTGAAGACAAAAAGATAGATCCTGCCCTCAAAGAGCTTGCATTATATTCTTCTTTCTTTTTTTCCCTTCTTCATTTTAAAAATTCCTCTTTTGCCATATAAAACTCCTTTTTGACTCCACACTTCTTTCCTTGATTGAAACTCCTAAATACAAAACCTTCTCCAGGAGAGGCAATGCAGGGGAGAGGAAAGAAAACAAAAAGAGAACCCATGAGACCAGTTGCCCTAGACTTAACTCCTAGCCTATAATAAGTTTTCTCTCTCTCTGTCTCTCTGATGACACCAAGTTGGAGGCTTCATTATTAATAAATAACTGGGCTTCCTTAGGACCCCATCCATGACACAAGATTCATTATGTTCTACCACTGTAACCAGTATTGGTGGTGAATCTATTACACACATGTCACATCATTACCACCTAGATGGCTTGACTGTCACCTCTTAAGTCATTTCTCTAAGGTTTTAAAAGATGTAAAACAGGTGTGAACTTTTTGATTGAAGAATATATTCCAACAATGCTAGTTATTTTGAAGAATATATTCCAACAACTTTAGCATTATGTGTAGGAATCCAAGAAGTCATTAGAGAATTTGAGAACTCAATTTAAGAACTAAATGCTTAGACAACTCTTTGGTTTAATTCTTCAAAGCTCAGTAATTTCCTCAGTATGGGAGGAAGTTCCTTCCATTAATATAGGCTGAACATTGTAATTTTGTAGGTGATCTTCAAGAACTACTTTTCCCAAAAAACTTGTGGTCAACCTGGAGATGAACTGAGGAATAATGCTCTCAAAAACACAATAGAGGCAGTGAGTTACTAATGGAAAGAACTTAATCTTAGCTCTGCTAGTTATGTGACCTGAGTTAAATCACTTCACTTGTTTGGGACTCATTTTCTTTATCTCTGAAATAAGGGAGTTAGATCCCCTACAGTTCCTTTCTAGTTCTAAAATTCTATGATTCAAGGAAAAGTTGACAAGACAAATCAAAGAAAGCCACCTACCCATATATTGGCTCCAAAATGTGTGCTGTAAGACAAAAAAAAATCAAATATTTAAAACGGCAGTTTCCCCCCTCTATTATCCCTTTCATCAAAGCATTTATTTATTTATTAAAATATTTACTGAAATATGTGCCAAAATACTAGGATGACAAAAGTAGGATTAATTTTTGGCATTCATCTGGATGTTTTGAAATGCAGCAGTGAAAATGAATATTTAACATCATAGTTTTAAAAATTGGAATGATTGAAGTTTTCATTGTTCAGCCAAACCTCTTGGTTTCATGAAGATGACAAATCCTTGGCATTTGCCTCTCCAGATGACTACTGCCCAGTACACTACTAGTTTGTTTTTTCTGTTTTGGGGTTTTATTTTTTTTTGCTAGGTAATGGGGTTAAGTGACATGCCCAGGGTCACACAGCTAGTAAGTGTCAAGTGTCTGAGGCCAGATTTTGACCTCAGGTCCTCCTGACTCCAGAGCCCGTGTTCTATCCACTGTGCCACCTAGCTGACCTTTACACTACTAGTTTGAAATGAGTCTAGTTTCCTACATTCAGCAAGGGATGGGGGTAGAGATAATATATTATAGACGATAAGAGAACTCTACACCCTCTTCGAGTTTTGAAGTGGCTAACAGCCTCATGTCTTACTGTCTGTAAAGAATCACAGCTACTATACTCATCTTTACAAAGCAACTAAAACAATGGTGAAAATCCTCCTTTAGAAAGATGAGTTTCAGGGCTGCTTCAAGGGAATCTGACAAGTCTTGGGTTCTTTGGTTCCAGCCCTAACACCTCCTTTCCCAGTTTTGTTTCTTATGCCAGGCTATCTAGCTCAGGAACCAAGACTCTTTGGTGGGCATACACAATTACTTTGTCTCACTCAGTCACCCTCTTGTGACTGGGAGAACCCAACTCAATAAATACTAGCTAGCATTATTGTTTGCAGATATTAGGTGCTTAATTAATGTTTGTTGAATGAATATTTGTTCAATTTGCTGCTTGGCAACATGTCAGAATGATATTTTAAGAACTAATTCTGCAATTATTTATCCTTCTTTGGGTCTGTTGCCTTAGGCAGGTCTGAGCTAGCTTCTCCAGCAGGATGGTCAAATTCCTATTTTGCTAGGCTGCTGAGGCTAGTTTGAAGGGGAGGTAATAATCATTCCTAAGAGGACCTTCCAGGGTCACGGTTTGCAGGAATCATATGTTCAAGATGTTTAAGGGAGATGCAAAGATAAATAAGACCTTATGCTCAAGCAGTTTATAATCTATTAAGGGTGATAAGTTGCATATACCACTAGCTATTGTACAATAGAGGCTATAATGAATGTACAACTATCTTAAGTGCGCTACTCCTTGTCAGGCAGCTAGGTGGTGAAATGGATAGAGTGCTAGGCCTGGAGTCAAGGAGACCTGAGTTGAAATCTGGCCTCATTCACTTCCTAGCTAGTGTCTGTGACCCTGGGCAAGTCACTTAGCCCTCTTTGCTTTAGTTGCCTCATCTGTAAAATGAGCTGGAGAAGGAAATGGCAAACCACTTCAGTATCTTTGCCAAGAAAACCCCCAATGGGGTCACGAAGAGTCATTCACGACTGAACAACAGCCATGTGAAAGAACAGGGTCTAATTCAGACTTCACTGAGCAGATTCTGAATGTCCTCCAGGGAGGGAATAACATGGGTGTGAAATTCAGCTAAAAATACAGGGCTTCAGCTTTGAAAGGCAGGTACTGTGCTATTTAAAAAGATAAAGGTCTGGTTTTCTCATTTGATCTATAAGTGAATTTTTGAAGGTGGGGGCAATTAGTGCAGAATTATGCATGTGAAGACAGGTACTACTGACAATTTAAGATAGTCTTAGAAAATAACACTCCTGAAGGGAGAATGGAGCCCAGACAGCGGCCAGGGGCCATTGGGAGCAATAGGTCCCAGGAAAAACCCTGGAGCAACTGAACCAGAAGAAAGATGGGGAGCAGCAGTCCAGTAGCCCAGGTAGCTTGAGGGATTAACAGGAAAGGCGCCTCTTGCCCTGGGGGAAGGGGAAGCAGTAAGCTAGCGGAAAGCCCCACCTCAGTATACCAGGAGGAGATCCTGAAACCCAGGTGGTGGAGCACACAAACACACACCAACACCTGGACCCCCAAGTGCCTCACTGAGGGCAGGGGAACCGGTGGAAACCAGCTTGAAAAACCACCAGGTGCCTCAGCATTTTACAGGAACTGGCTCTCCCAGGGCCTCAGCAAAAGTAAGGGAAGCAGCCCCCCAAGGGGCCCCAGGCGGATAAACATCCTGCACCATCTATCTGAAAGGAGCTGAAGAAGGTGAAAGGAAGGAAAAGCCCAAGGTGAGCAGGAAATCTCGAGGAGTCACACTACCCAATCCTACCCCTAGAGTTCCAGTGTTGCTGATTCCAGCCCAACACCAGATAAGCTGCCAGAACCCTACAGCCTCCAACTGCCAACATTGGAGACCCCAGCACACAAAGCCAGCAACCAGGCCCTAGGCTCCCAACACAAGAAGCCTGGGTCAGTGCCCTCTGCTCCCCAGCAGAAGAGCTTAATCGCTTTAAAGGCCAGGAAATAAGCAAACACCATGAGAAAATAACACTCCTATTTGCCCAGGTTGAATAGCAAATACGTGCCAAAATGTGCCAAATAAGGAGAAGAGGATGTTTATTTTTATTCACTTTATCACCAGCTAAGACTCATGGAAAAGAGCAAACTAATTTTTAAAAAGATCCAAACCATGAGGCCTGGTATATAGTAAGTACATCTGTTGGCAAGACGTGGTTAAAGATCTGAAGACAGTGTAAACATTAGATTAAACCGGGCTACATAGTCTGATTCCTTGATTCATACTACACTTAAAAGTATATTTCAACACTAATAATAAGAATAAGAATAATAGCTGCATAGTGCTTTAAGATTTACAAAGTGTTTTAGATATAGATTTAGATACACATATATTGCCTCATTTTATTTTCACGATAACCCTGTGAGGTGGGTGCCATAGGTATTATTGTTCCCATTTTACAGATGAAAGACTCAGGATCAGAAAGGTTAAATGGTTGGTAATTAGATCACCTGTCTATTAAGTGCTGGAGGTGGGATTTGGACCCAGGACCCTCCTAACTCCAAGGCTTACTCTCTTTCATTCATTGCATCTGAGACTTCCTTTTTCCTTTGTGTCTGATGGAAGAAGGGAGGCACTGACTGGTGATATAACCAGGCTATTATGCCCATTAAAACTGGAGACTCGGGGCAGCTAAGTGGCGAAGTGGATAGAGGACTGGCCCTGAAGTCAGGAGGACCTGAGTTCAAATCTGGCCTCAGACCAAACACTTGATACTTACTATCTGTGTGACCCTGGGCAAGTCACTTAACCCCAATTGCCTTTAAAAAAAAAAAAGAAAAGAAAAATATTTGCAATAAATATCTTTAATAAAAGTTTGACCTTCAAAATCTATAGGGAGCTGGCACAAATATATATGATCAAGAGATATACTCAAGTGTGTGAATAATTATCAAAGTAAAAAATACAAGCTATCAACTACCATCTGAAAAAATTTTAAATCACGAAAAATCACCAGAGATATTCTCAAATTTAGCTGTGAAGTAGCCAAACATAATTTGTTCCTTTTATTAGTATCCTAGTGACAACCAAGAGGGATAGGGAAAGAGCAACACTAAGACATCTCAAAGAAAAATGATAGTGGTGGTTTTTTAATTTTTTGTTTTAGTTTGGTTTTTTTAAAGCTACTGAAGTGAAAGACTATAGGTATGGAACATTGTGTATACTATGTGACAGTTAATATGTTGATATTTGTTATGGTAAACTGCTTTATTCCTCTATTTCTTTTAAAAAACCTTTGTTACAAGGAATGACTCTCTGGGTAAGAGTGGGACATATATGGAAATTAAAATGATTTAAAAATAAATCAATTAAAAAATAAAAAATGAAGTTGGGGAGTGGGCCTGTAGTCTAAGCATTTAGCCTTCTAATGAGTCAATTTGAGTCACTCTACCCCACTTCAAACCTCAGGTCCCCCATCTGTAAAATGAAGGGGTTAAGTCATCTCGAAATTCTTTCTGTAGAAGGATATACTGCATCTGGTTCTAACCCCTTCTTGGAGACCTTCGTTATGTTTTCATCATGAGCACTGACACCAAATGCTATAAATCAGGGCTTGATTTATTGTTCTGTTGATTGAATTTCAAAAAGTGTTAATAATGCAGATTGAATTTAAAAGCGTGTGGGTACATTCCCCTCCCCCCCAAATTGTTATTGTTGTTCAGTTGTTTTTCAGATGTGTCTCCCTTTTGTGACCATATTTGGGGTTTTCTTGGCAAAGATCTGGAGGTGGTTTGCCATTTCCTTCTCCAGCTCATTTTACAGATGAGGAAACTGAGGTAAAGAGGGTGAAGAGACTTGTCCAGGGTCACCCAGCTAGTAAATGTCTGAGGCCAGATGTGAACTCAGGAAGATGAGTCTTCCTGAGTCCTGGCCTGTTATTAAACATTTACCAGTACATTCCTCCGTTTACATCTCTGATCCTATTTGTTTAGGGTTCTGAATATGCTAAATTCTTTCAAAAGAAGTTTGTTCCTAGCTCTTCACTGACAGCAAAGGCCTTAAGGAAGTCTGACTGAGATTTGCACATGAAATTGTTTCTTTAGAATTTAACAGTGATTTAATGGCATAAAAACAACCACGAAGTTTCATCTTGCTCTGAATACTGACTGACTTTAAGATCCCTTCCCCCACTTAGTACCTGACACAAAGTAAGGCACTTAATAAATGTTTGTTGCTTGATGTGTTTGTATGTGTGTGGTATGGTGTGATGTGGTATGGGGTGGTATGGGGCGTGTGTGTGTGTATGTGGGTGTGTGTGTACACACACACACACCCACATACACACACACAAAATCCCCCTTGGCCCCTTCAGGGTAGGGACCGATTCATTTTGTCTTTGTATCCCCAGGACCTAACACAGTGGGTACTTAGTGGGTGCTTAATAAAAGCTTGCTGTTTGATAGCTGGAAGGAGCCGTGGAAAAAAGGTAGACTGATAAGTAGGGTTAAATGATACTTTTTAAAAAAATACACATAATTTGAATGCCAGGGAATTCCACTCTCTATAGTATGTAATTTTTTGGTTTGTTTTTGCTTTTGCTTTTTATTTTGGGGTGTATTTTGGTAATAAATAAAGTTATCTGAATGATAGGGAAGCCAGAAAACCTCCAGAGAATAGCACAAGGCATAGAGTACAGTTTTAGAACACAGAGAACACGTGTTCATTGGTGGACACACCAATGCCTTGTTCCTGCCTCTGCTTTATGAAATCTTGATAGGAAATACGAGTTGCAAATACATGGAACCCCTTCCAAGGGAAATCAGAGCAGTACACTATAAATTTCTTATAACTACAAGTGAACACAGCCAACTTCTGATGAGTTCACCATGTAAGAGGGTCAGAACGCTTGGAAAATTGTTAAAGCAAACTTTGTAGTCACAGATGGAAACCTTTATTCAAAACTATTAAAATAATTTTCTCAGGACTGTATAGTAGTAAAAATGCAAAATGTAAATTAAATATTTTACCATTAAGAACCAGAAATGTTCTCACCTTATACCCTAATTAAGCTAACTTCCAATGAACTAGGGAGTTGTTTAAAATGGATATGCCCCTGACTTGAACTACTTCCAATGCATACCTGGTCACATGTGTCAAGCAATATAACTAATCCAAATAGTAAATCATGATGAAATTTTTATGTAGGAGTCCAGTCCTAAGAAAGGTTATTTTGTTCTCAAAAAGTGGTTTGACCTTTTTGAGACAAGTAGGCCTTTCTGTTAAACATATTAATTTCTAGCTTAGCAGGGGAAAATCTCTTGCTATGCATGATGTCTAAAGCTAACTGCCGCTAACTTGCCAAGTTTGGAAGAAACATTGCTATAACACTGGAGCACAGTTGGCCTTGCTCTCTCCATATGCATTTGTGTTGAGTGTGATTTGGTTGAGCTAATTAAAAAGTTAGGGTCTCAAGTACAGATGCTAGATTAATTCACCTGATAATTTGTTGGAGTAGTGGAAGGAAATGTCCCCTCTAAAATACATGACTAATTAAATTTTGTTGCTTTGAGATAAGAAATTTCTGCAAGACAGCAAAAGGTGAAACAAGTAGAAATGGGGAAAAAAAGTAGTACATACAGTCTTTTCATTGTTTTCAAAGACTTCTCTTGCTTCTTCATAAACACATTTTTCTTCGAAGCATTCTCTTTCCAAATTCCCCTTTAAAATCTCCTCCAAAATAAATGATCTGGCACGTTTCGTTCTTACTATAACTTCATTTGCCTTAGAAGCCGGCCAAAATACTGGAAAGCAGGGCAAGAAAGGAGGTGAGGTCAACACTTAGAGATCATTCAAGAATTGTTAGATCTCTGCTTTTCAAAAAGTCGAGAATGTATGGATATTTGGAAAATAAAAGAAAATCCCAGAACTAATTGACGTTTGTGCTAATGCAAATACCTTTTCCTTTCATTTAAGTTCATTTTTCCACTAGAGAGAGGTGAATCTATACTAAAATATGACATGAATTTAAAATACCAAAAAGGTCCTGACTCTGGCACTAACTAGCTTTGTGACCTTGGGAAAGTCTCATAAAATTTTTCTTTGAAATCATTTTTGTAATTTAGTATGATTAGCATAACTTTATTTTTTATACTTTCTTTTCAAAGTGGACCTCAGTTTTCACATCTGTAAGATGAGGGATCTGGGCTAGATCTATTATTTGAAAATTTATCCCTTTTATTATGAATTAAACAAGCATTGACATTTCAATAAACAAAAACTGAAAAATGGATTGTATATATGAAGCTATGCACTTCTATTAACATATAGGTTTTAAATATACTCATTAAATTTCACAAGATAGTAATAAAGCTTGTCTGTGTATCCTTCTGAATTTCCTTCTTTACTCTTTTGTATATTTTTAAGTGTTTTCCTTAATGATTATCTTTTTTTTAGATTTTCTGATTTAGTTTTTGCTTCTAACATCCTATAATTCTGTTTTCTGTGAAATATAGATATATTTAATTTCTTGGTAAATATCAAATGTATAATCAGATATTTGTAATCTAGAAGATTGCTGTTATAATCAGTATCATTTTATTTCAAATGAGAAGATTCTAATCACTTGATTTATTGAAAATATTTAATCCTTTTGGTGAACATAAGACCTTATTTCTCCTGTTTGCTTTTCAAAGTTAATAAATTGACTGTGAATATTTTTGTCTCTCCTTTCTTCTTTTTCATTTGCTTCTCTTCTTTATTTTATTATTGCAGAGAAGTACACTCATCTCTGATCATAGGCTCAGATAAGTTCAATAATTATAAATGCTTATATGAGAAAGTCTCTTAGACCATTTGGGAGAGAGGGTAAAATGGCAGGTTGTAAAGAAAAATATGATTTTTACACTGCTTAGGCTACCATTAAATAGGATTCCAGATAATTTTGTTTCACAGACTTTAAAAGGGGATTTCAGTGAAATTGATATAGAATGGGAAAGGGGATAAAAAGGATCCTTCTAGCAATGAAAAAAGACAGTGTACTAATTTTGCTCCCTGAAAAAAAAAATCACCACCTCTCAGATATGCTTCTGGGTTGTCTCAAAAAAGCCATCAGCAGAAAGGCAAAGGAAGATAGTAATACAGTAGAATCCAACATCCTACCTGACTGCTCTGACTGATGGAGAGAGAAGGTAAGGAAACATAACTGCAGCATCCAAAAGCAGCCCGCCATTCTGATTGTCCAGGCTAGTTCAGTGGAGTCCAGCTGCATATCAGTGGGTCTTTCAGGAGAGTTAAGCAAGTAAAGAAAGTTCAAAGTTCGAAGTTCACTGCCATTGGGGTAGGAGGGAGTGAGAGAGGAAGGAAAGAAGACTGTTGGTGTTGCAGGGTGATCAGCCAGTAATCTCTTCACTATCTCCAGTTAATGTGCTTGTTAACACGTTACTTATTCAGCATCTGTGGACTTTTGTTTACATACACCAGGCAGCCCCTTGGATCACTCTATCTTTGGCTCATTTTGCTCTCATCCAAAACCTCTGGAAAATCTTAGAAAACAGCTTAAATCTAGCTCATGTCTAGGTCTTCACTGAGGTGGGTAAAAAGGTCCCAGCCTCTGTGCAAGCACTAAATGTAATAATGTATATATTGAGAACAGGACAGCTTTTTATTCTATCTCACAGAAAAAACAAGAGACTGTGGTGAGGACAGAGAATGAGTTTGAGGAGTTGGGTAAAAGGGAGAACTAGAAAAAATAGGAAGTTATGGTCAAATAAATTGTTATTGTTCTTTGTTCTTGAAGAGGACCAATGACATCAGGAAGGTGATTTCTTGACTTGCAAGTGAACTGGATTTAAGTGAGGTAGGGCTGTGCAAAGTCATCAGCCTCACTCTCTCCTCCAAAGTCATCTGAGTCCAATGGCAAGATATAAGTCAGGATGACTGAAAATGGCCTTGGATGCAGTGGAAGACTTTGGCCTTTTTAAGCTGAAGTCTTTCCTAGGTCTCAGTTTGTCTGAGGCAACAGCCATTTAGTGGCTAAAAGCTAGGTAAGAACTGAAGCAAAAGATAAGCCTCAGATACTTACTAGCTGTGTGACCCTGGGCAAGTCACTTAATACTGATTTTGTTCCCCATTTCCCCCCAAAAAATGAAAGTTGGCTACTCAGTCAGGAAGATGTGGGTTGAGGCACTATCAAGTCGCTTAAATGCTCAGGGACCATATCTTTTAAGAAAATATCCATTTGTAAAAGCCAATTGATGTTAGTTGGCTAAATGGAACTGGAAAGCTAGTCAGTGGGAACTGGGAAACTAATCAATGTCTAATAGCAGGAGGAAACACACCTGGAAGTGGGGCTCAAGCCTACTGCATTAGAGAAAGATACCCTTACTCATCAGAACCCTGAAGGGGAGATGTAGGCAGCCTGGCTCTTAGATGGTGAGTGAATTTGCTGCATATACCTCATCATCAATTCCTTGGAATCATAATTGTTCTTTCCATTAATCAGAATTCTTAAATATTTCAAAATTCTTTGCTTTTCTGATGTTGTTGTTATCATATAAATTATTCTCCTGGTCCTGTTCATTTCATTCTGCATCACTTCTTATGTTTTCCCAGGTTTCTCAAAAACCATCTCTTTCATAAATCTTACAGCATCAGTATATCTTTATTTTTCAATTAACAAACATTTCTTTTTGGAGAGCATCCATCCTCTCCAATCTTAAAGGAAAAAAAAATCCTTGTAACAAACATGCATAGTCAAGCAAAACAAATTCCTACAATGTCCATGTCAAAAAAAAATGTATGTCTTTTTCCACTTTTTGATTCCATCACCTCTTTGTCAGGAAGTAGGTAACATAGATCATCTTCAGTCCTGTGGAATCATAGTTGCTCATTGCATTGATCAAGAGATCTTAAGTCTTTCAAAGTTGTTTGTCTTTACCATATTCTTGTTGTATAAATTGTTCTCTTAGTTCTGCTCATTTCACTTTGTATCAGTGTGGTACAAGTCTTCCCCAATTTCTCTGAACCTATCGCTTTTGTAATTTCTTTCACAACAATAGTTTCCCATTACATTTATATGCCACAATTAATTCAGTAATTCTCTAGTTGATGGGCACTTTCTTTGTTTCTAGGTCTTTGCAATGACAAAAAAAAGCTGCTGTATTTTTGTGCGTATGACTCCTTTTTTTCCTTTCTTTGATTTTGCAGTAGCATAAATCTAGTAATAGTATTAGTAGGTCAAAGGGTATGCACAATTTAGTTAGTTTGGGGGGCATAGTTCCAAACTGCTTTCCAGAATGGTTGGACCAATTCACACCTGCACTAACAATGCATTAATGTGTCTGTTTTCACAGCCCCTTCAACATTTGTCACTTTTCTTTTTTGTCAATTTTGCCAAGCTGGTATATATATGAAATAGAACCTCAGAGTTGCTTCTAAATAACTTAACATATGCCAGGCACTGTGCTAAGTGTTAGGGATACAAAAAAAGGCAAAAGATAGTCCTTGCCCTCAAGGAGCATACAATCTAGTTGGGGAGAAAACGGGCAGTGTGTGGAGCATAGACATGAGGAAAGACATAAGGAAAGACATGAGGCAAGGAATCTTTAGAAAACTATTGCAAATGCCATTTCTCTATTAGTGATTTGGAGCATTTTTTCACATGGATATTGACAACTTGAATTTCTTCCTTAGAAGCTGTCTATTCGTATCTTCTCTATCCATTTATCAGTTGGAGAATAGCTCTTACAAATTTGAATTAGTTCCTTATAAATCTTAGAAATGAGACCTTTATCAAAGAAATTTGCTAACAAGAATTTTCCCCTCAGTTGTTTCCTTTTTTAGTCCAGCATATCTTTTAAAGCCTATTACACTTTATTTCCATAACATACTCTATAGAATCCATCTAAACCGGCTTACTTGCCATTTCCTGTTCATCATTCTATCTTGCCTCTATGGTTTTGCATAAGCTTTCTGCAATTCCTAAAAGGCTTTTCCTTCTCACCTCCTCCTTTAGACACCTTTAACTCCCTTCAAGGTTTAATACAAGTGTCACCTCCTTCAAAACACCTTTTCTGATTCTCCCAGTTGTTAAACCCCCATTTCTCCTTCATAGTGTATTCATTTTGTATCTATTCTGCATATTCTCATCTGTCTGTATATCTCTCCATCCCCTACCCCCACCCCAGTAGAATGTGTAAGTTCTCAGTTTTGTATGTCTATCTCCAGTGCAGTGCCTTCCATTGTACTATACTTAATAAATGTTTGCTGATTGATTGAAGGTTGTCATTGCCCATATATACCCCTTCTCTGTCTAGAAGGTACCAGTTAGATCCTGGAACTCTTAAATTTTGGGATTCTTAGAGAAAGGCAATCCCTAGTTCTACCCAAGAAACTGTTCTTCTTTTGCTAGAAGGCTGAATTCTTGGATTGCACTGCCCAGGAAGTGTAATTCCGTCCTCTCCTCCCCCACTCCAGGAGGCTGTGGTTTAGGGACTCTCACCACTTGGACCACAGTTCCCCTTTCCATCACTGCTGCATGACTGAGAACATTTGCCTCTGCCACTGCTTTTTCAGAGCTGGGTCCATTCGAGGGTCTTGGTCTAGGAATTCTCTGTCCCAGCTTCTAAAATCTCTTGGGCTGAAGCTGCTATCTCTGGGACTGAGTGGGGATTACTCATTTGTCCCTGGGGGCGACCTGTGCTGATAATGCACAGGTATCTGCCAAGGACCAAAGTCTACTCTCAGATCTGTGGTCTCTGATTGGTGCTCAGGAAAGGGAAAAAGACAGCTTAAAAAAAAAAATTTCACGAAAACCCAGAGGCTGTGACATCCTTTTATATGTCAGCTCAAAAGGGTGGCTCCTGGCTGCAACCACCTGGCCAAACAAATCATATCTGATGCCCAGGAAATGTCCTTAATCGTTTCCAGAAAGTTTTCAATGGATAATGCCCAAACTTTCATTGTGAGATGCTATCAAGTTCCATGTGGAGAAAACACAGTACAGTGGAAAGAGTCAGAACAGCTTCATTCAAATCCAGTCTCTCCTATTTACTCTCTGTGTGATATGGGCAAGTTCCTTTACCTCTCTAGGTTTTGGTTTTGTCATCTGTAAAATGAGGAAGTTGGAGTAGATAAACTATGATGTTACTCCCATAAATCAATGATCCTATGGTGAGAGATCACCGTGGTGTAAGCTTGTCAAGTTGATCTCCTAATCATCTTCTGTACACAAAAACTAAAGACTGGAAATTCAGGATCATTCTAAAATGACAAGGTAAGGTAAACAACTGATCCATACATACAAAAATCACACACAAATAAAAAGCAATTTAGAGGGTTTGTGAATTTGGGTTTGGTTTTTTTTTTTTGGCAAGGGACAAAAATCTTTTAATTTCTTCCTCCAAACATCTCCTCTTTACTCATACAGTCACAACCTTAGTTCAAACCCCCCCACAACCTCTTGCTTTGAACTATTACGGTAGTTTTATTTTTTAAATAATATTTTCTTGATGTATTTTTTAAAACACCATTATGGTTTCTTCCAGTATCATTTCCTGTCCCAGAGAGTCATCCCATATAATAAATGTTTTAAAGAAAAAAAAAGAAAAAGAAGGAAAAATAAGCATAGCTGATCAATATATCAAAAAAGTCTAAAAATATTTTCAATGTCCAACATTTGTGGACCTCCTACCTCTGCAAAGGGGTGGGATGGGAGTATCTTACATATCTCTTCTTCTGAGCCATGCTAGTTTTTAATAAGGCATCATTCATTTTTGATTTTTTTTTCTGTTCCATTTATATTGTTGTATATTGTTTTCTTGGCTCTCCTTCATTCCACATTCATTGACTTTATGTCTGAATCATCACTGCTCGTCTTCTTTACATTCATCCTCAAGACCTAAGGAAAGTTTACAGCATAACCCAATGCACAAGACTTTCCCAATGACACATCCAACAGGGGGCACACAAACACGGACATGCAGGGAAAGCCAGCAAGAAATCAAACTAAAGAGATTCCTTGCCTCATGTCTTTCCTTATTTCAGTCTATGTTCCACACACCGCTTGTTTTCTCCCCCGTTAAATTGTAAGCTCCATGAGGGCAAGGACTGTCTTGTCACTTTTTGTATCTTTAGCTATAACACAGTGCCTGGTATATACTAATCAAAGGCATATCTCTATTCAATAAATCTAATGGCTTCCCATGACCTCTAGGATCAAAGATAAACTTCTTTGGCATTTAAATTTCTTCATGGCTTGGCCTCTACTTTTCTTTACCTGTACATTACCCCTAA